GCGTCTAAAAATTACATATTGATTTGCAGCGTATTATTATATCGCAATAAGCTCTTGCAATTACCCTTTCTAATGTAAAATGAAGGAGAAAATTTCCCTTGTTTACATTATTTGCGCAAATTCATATATGTTCGCTTAGCTCTTGTTTCATTGAGTATATACTGTCACTGAGTACGGAGTGTCACAATACAGAAAGCCCGGCAGCCCGCACGTAGGCTATAACAATTACATACTGATTTGCAGCGCATTATTATATCGCAATAAGCTCTTGCAATTATACTCTTTGTTATGTAAATTGAAGTAGAAAATTTCTCTTGTTTACATTACTTGCGCAAATAATTCTCAATTATCTAAACACATTGGCTTAATTTCAATCTAATATTGTATAGATTGTGTTCTTTTATGAACAACTGAAATATATATTTAAAAACAGATATTTCATAGGAGTATGGTTCTATTTATAAAAAAGCGATTGAAATTTGATAGTTTGATTGTACAACTACTAGCCTGAGTAAGACCATGATTGTCTTATATGCAACCTGAAAGCAAGTATAACATGAGCAGCTTAGCAGAGCTGCCTTAACTAAAGACGTAAATAGTACACGGCGCCAACACATATAACAATCATATTTGATATTTTTATGCAGAATAAATTAGCACAAGTGTCTTGTACAAGGTTAAATGCATTTTTCGTGGAAATTAACATGTAGCAATTTTCAGACAATCTTGGCCATAAACCGTAGGACGACGATAATTTTTTATGCATTTTTAAGGCCTCCCCCCTTCCCCCCATTCAATGTTGCCGTTTCGTGTATATTTATGATCTGACCTACTCTACAACAAAATTGTATGTGTACTATAGAAATGTGGGAGAGCAACATTGAATGGGGGGAGCGGGGGGAGGTGCAAAATGATTTTAAAACCCAAGTATATTAAAAAGTTGCGAATTTGTTTTGTCGTTCTACGAACTTTTGGCCAAGGTTTAACAGTATAGTTGTATTTGTTGCGATATTTTGTGTAAACAAGTTTATTGGTAGGCGTAGGATTTCTCAGATAAGTTTTATATAAAGTATTCTTTTTACAACACGAATTATGCAGTCCAGCTGAGAACCATGGTTTAGAGCCAGCTTTAAAATTGGAATTTCTAACAATTATTGGGAAATGATTATTATAAATTGGAAGAGGTATTCCTGAAAAGTAGTTATACGAGTGATTAGGCAAAGTATTTATCTTGTTTCATCCCAGTTTATTTCTTGCAATTCATTCTGAAAGTTCAAAATACTAGATTGGGCAGGGGCGGATTCAGCGTCTCAATCTGACCATAGCATTTTGGATGAAATCAACATGCGGGGCCGAAGGCCACGCCCTACCTAGGGGGGTTTGGGGGCATGCCCCCCCCTGAAAATTTTTGAAATTTGAAGCCCGCAAGTACCATTTCCTGCATTCTGAGCATCGAAATTAGATTTAAAATTTGTAGAAAAGTGCCTGTTTTTCACACCAAAATAAGAAAAAAACACACAAGTTACAAAATTTATTCATCAACATACCACTTCGAACAACAGATTATCTTGAAAAAGTAAGATAACAGTAGTTCGAAAGTTTTCAAATGTACATAATTTTGAAACAGCGGCCAAACAACAGTTAGGGAAAATGTTTATCTGGCTAAGGAGCAGCATATATAGATCATCCCGAAACAGCAGGACAACTTATGGCAGTCAGAAAAAATATTTTCTGTACAGTATATAGATTATCTCCAAATTATAGGAAAAATGTTTATTTGTGGATCATCTTGAAACAGCAGCACAACGGCAATTAGGAAAAATGTTTATTTGTATATGTTTTTTGTACTAAAATTCGAGCAGTTCTGCAGGAATTCGCGCGGAGCTGGGTGCGCAAATTTTAGTACTGTGGGAAATATAATCCGCGCGAAAAGCTTTGCGGTGTAATATTCACACTCGTTGTTAGTAAATAATATAATGTAAGGGCAATAATACCATATACGAACCTATAATATATGGGATGCTAATAAAAATTAGTTATTGTTATTGTATTAGGCAAATGAAAACCATACATTTTGAAGTTTGAACTTTATATGCTTTACTGTTATCATGAATTTTGTTTTGACAAATATTGAAGTATTTGTTGTTATAGTTTTATTAAACAAACCAAAAGGAACCAACATGGAAAATTACTTGCAAATTTAAAGCTGCGCAAACAAGTTTCGCGAAATTGGAATGCGCAAATTTAAAGCTGAACGAAAATGAGTATACGACGCGAATTTTAATACAAGTAAGGTATACAATACATGGATTTGAAACATCGACTATATATTTATGATACGTTATCCCAAGAAGCAGGCTCAGCTGTTGTAATTCTAAACTCTGTTAGTATACATGTAAACTACAATATAATATATCGGAGTGTAACTATTTCTATAAATTTATTTACACTACTCACTAGTCTTTATAGACTACAACAGGTCTACAACTAATAATTACATGAGCAAAGTCTAAGATATAAAATATATAGGAGATAACTAACATATTTCTTAATATAAACACACATGGCATGCCAATGGCTATCAAATAGTGTGAGTGGCCATTTATATTGTTCTGCATTTTTATAATAATACGTTTCATCAGCAAATATATGGTAATATATTTGAGATGCATGAACTGTGTAAAATTCGATGTTATTTACATATTTAATATACTATTCATGAGACTGACCTGACACGGAGGTGATTCAAACAGCGCTGTCTTCACAGTTCACATCGCGGGAAATGCAAATTATGCCAATAATCGCACACCAAAAGCAGAATTGTTTCGCGCACCTTTTCGTTAAATGAAACACGTTTACATTCGTTCATTATACACAGAAGATTGTGGAGTCCTGTAGAAGCCATATCTTTCTCCTTGGAACGAGCGGCGATTAAAATTTACCGACTATTTGATTACAATGAGGAGCCGACACGGCAATAACAAGCCAGCGTCGCTCAGAAGTCGATGCGACTATTGCAAACATTTGCCTCATTCTGATTGGCTTGCTTCGTCTGACCGTTGCAAACCAATCAGAACGCCGTATTTGCCAATTTTTGCAACAGTCAGTTTCAATCTAACCACTGCAAAAATTTCCAAATACAGTGCTATGATTGGTTTGCTATGGTTAGACGAAGCAAGCCAATCACAATGAAGCAAATGCTACGGCTTCAGAATGATGTGATATAGCACTAGTGCAAAACCTGCAAATACAGGCAGTATTTCGGGTCGAAATTTGAGAAAAACCCAAATTTAATTATCCAAAATGAAATAAAAACTCGATAAAATTGTATCAATATGATTTAGTAAATTAAAAAAAAATTGCACCAAGTTTCAATGAAAAATTGAAAATAACAGCAATTAAAAATAGTATAACGTTTTAGTTTTTAATAACTTTAAAAAAAGTACAACCTGGAAAAATATATCTCAGGGAAAATCTGACATTGTAACAGTCTGAATCCACCCCTGTTTGGTTATTTTCCCAGTTTTAATATTAACAGGAACCGTATGTTGTTGAGGTTCAAAATTAGTAATCTGAAAAATAGGAAGATGGTCAGTGAGATCACTGTATCACATACCACTCACAATATCATGCTCAAGATTATTCGTAAAAATATTATCAATTAAGGTGGCAGAGTGAGATGTAATTCTAGTTGGTTTAGAGATAGTGGGATAAAGACTGTTTGCGGAAAGAAGATCGATAAATTCTTTTGTGGGTAGATGAGATTCGTGATTAATCAGATCAATGTTAAAATCTCCCAAAATGTAACATATTTTATTTTCATATCCAATTTTGGTTACTATTGAGGTCAAAAAATCATTAAATAGTTCAACCTCAACATTAGGAGGTTTATAAATTCAGCCTATAATTAAGTTTTTATTTTCGGACTGAGTGATTTCCAAGAATATTGATTCGGTTAATTCATTCGAGGCAAGTTCAAGATCTGGTCGAAATTTGTACGTGAATGAAGACTTAATAAAAATGCCAACACCGCCACCTGTCCTATGTTTCCTGGATTTTGCAACAGATAACGCAATGACCGAAAATGATAAATTGATGATAGATAAATATTCAATCAAATCAACAAAAATTTTTTGAGACTTCTACTATTCATGTCGAGTGTGGAAAAACAGTTTCATTTTTTTGTGAATAAATTATTAAATTCCCTAGTGGTATAATAGGCACAGCTAGACAGTATTTGACAGTTTAACAGAAAAGTATTTGAATTAGGATCAATATCAGAATTATTAAGTAAATGTTGCGTATCGGAATCACTAAGAAATGGATTTAAATAATTAGAGTTAAGACGATCATAATCTAGATTAATATCAGAGTTATGGAAGGCATTTTGAAGGGTGAAGTGGAAAGCATCATCATCAATAATATGATTAAAAGGAAATAATTCAGATAAACATGATTCACATGACTAAGAATTATCACAGGAAATCAATTTATAATCCTGAGTATTAAATCTTGTACACTTTAAGTGAATCATAGATTGACAAATTGCACATGCAATTTTCCTAGAGTTGTTATGAAAAATAAAATTACAAACAGAACACCTTTCACTCATACTAATTGAACAGGAAAATAAGGGTATACTACTGCTTGTCTCGGATATTATATATGAAAATTGTGCTCAAACTAGTATAGATAAGGATATTAGTGCTTCTTACGAATTATACTAGGAGCTATAAACAAATATAAACGTGTAGGTCTAACTCCACAAATGAGCTAGTAAATGTAGAAATACAATTATAGATTGCTCGAGTATGTTCAAGAAAATTCAAAGGCCATGGCAAGCCAGCCTAGGTATATACAGTTAATAAATTACAGTGTTCAGACGTAGAAAATTTGGCCGGAACTATAAAATAATCATGTTATTCGGCATACTACAGAACATTCAACAGTCAGACAAACGGAGTAAAGAATATATAGCTATTAAGAGCCACAGTCAACAATCAAGTAGGAATAGGCGTAACAGTTCCGTTAATGATTAACCTACCAGCTCGAAAAGCCACTTTACTACCTTCTTTGTATGCGGCAGCCATCAGAGGATGGGCATGTTGTTTAAGATCAAGGTCTTCCTTAGTAAGTTCATCAAGAAAGTAGATGCTGCTTTGTATAGACTTATTCCGTTTTGCCAAGCGAAGGACTTCGTTTTTAAGAGGCCTACTAAAGAACTTCAGAATTATGTGTTGAGGGCGATTAGAGATCTTTCTACCCGTGCGGTGAGCTATTCCTATTTGATTACGGCAGAAATCTTAAGAATATCCAAGTTTAGTTATGGTATTCACCACATGGTCCATACAGCTTTTGCCATGAGCTTCCATAATGCCTCCAATTCGTATGTTATAACTCCTTGAATAACATTCTAACTCAAGAACTTTATATTTGAGTGATTCAACATCACTAGTAAGAGAACTGTTTGTTACTTTAACTTCAGCAAGTTCGGTTTTAGTATTGCAAAGATCGACTTTAATGGAGTTAACTTCAGCTTGGGTGTATTCAACCGAAGCACGTAGGTCATTAACAGCAGATTTAATTTCTTTAACTTTAGCCACCATAATGCTAGACTCTTCGCGAAATCCCTTTAATTCCTTTAATATCGCAGCCAAAGTATTACCAGAATCTTTGCTGGAGACCTGTTTAGACTTAGACATGGCTTGTCTGGTCTCTATAGACATTACACAATTTGTCAAGCGAAATTTAGTTAAAATTTAACCCAAATTACAGAGCTCAAACAAACACATCTCACTCCATTGAACACTAACTTAATAGGACATTAATTAGGAGATTAATAGGACAAGGAAGAGCTTCTGTGGGAAAATGAATATGCCTTCTCCACCTAAAGCAAATGCCTACTCTAAGGACAACAAAGCCATCATGAAAGCAGTTAAAACTGTTGCCGAGAAGAGCATGATGGATGCCAGTGATGAAATCCATGCATTGAAAGGACGCAACAATACTGGGATCTCTCATTGTGGAGTTTCTTGTGATGGAATGTGGCAGAGAAGTGGGCATTCATCAATGAATGGCTGTGTGACGACACTCTCGATTGACACTGGCAAGTGCCTTGATGTCGCAGTGTTAAGTAGTCTGCCGAGGGTGACAAAGACACAAGGACAGTGATGATCCTAAGGAAAAGTTAGTTTGGAAAACTGAGTACAAAGATAAATGCAAAGTCAATTATTCTGCTTCTGCTTTTTGGATTTACTACAAAATCATCAGCTCCTGAACCAGATTTTCCCCTCATTTTGCTTAGATATCTGTTAAACTCAGTCCTGATAATCTCATACCTTCGCTTTACAGAGTCTATGGTTTTGTGGAGTTGCTCTATGATTTTCTTCCAGCAGTTTGCTTTCTTATTCTTGTCCTTGAAATCCTTTGACGCTCGGTTGTATATAGTAGGAAATTCTTGGATTAATTCCATAAGGCATCATTTTCTTGAATTTTCTGTATAGCAACTTCAGGTTCAGCTTCATCCGTCATTTTGAAGTTAGATGATTTCTGGAGACTGGACTCCAATTTCTTGTCGCATTTCATCGCATTCCATTGGTTTTCGGTTTTCATTTACATCACAGTCGCAATTTGTCGGTGAACATTGGTGACAATCAGGAAAAAACAAATATTTGTTTTCTACGATGGTCGCCGATAGTCTGGGAACATCCCCGATTACCGGTTTTCATTAACTCATTGCAATTCTTCCTATCTCATTGGGAAGCTGATTCAGCGATGATCGCTGATGAATTACGACATATGAATTACAACAAATGAAAACCAGGCTTTAGGGGAGAAAAATGTGGGAATTATTTAAGCTAGGTCTCAGGGTCCCAGGTGTCTTATGCGGCCAAAATCATTACTCTGTAATACAATTTTATAGTGAACTGCTACCATTTACGGACTGCCAATATGTAAATTAAGTTGGCAGCCAGTAAACAATGTGGACACTTTTTTATGGTGAGTGGCCCTACTGTAGTTTTCCTATACTGTGCTATATTAAAACATGCAGTCGCAGTCTTGAGACCTCTGTTGAAATTGAAGTAAATCAATGCAAAGTTTATACAGTTTCCAGATAACAATTTAGTAACATATTATACAAGATTATAAATAATGTGAACCAAAGGCAGAGCAAATAAAAGTGCCTTTTATAAGTGTGCCCTGAGAGAGGACATAAGAACATAAGAACAATGGGGCATATGATTATACATTTCTATTGCTTGATGTTGCTATAAAAATCTGTTTTATTATAATTCAAGCATCTTTTTGTATAATTCAAGAAATCAAATTTAGGATGTATTTGAACGAATATGTGATTCCCAAAGTTGATCGGTACAGAACACTCACCCCTTGTGATCGAACTATAAAGTGGAATACTGTGGAAATATATAATATGATACTTTTCCCTCCCCCCTTAGACAATCAAATTTCTGGGACACATGACCAGCGGCAACCAGGGTTTTTCGTCACCTCGAGCGTGATAAATACCCTGGCTTGCAGAGGTTGCTACATTATCTACTCAGTTGAATGAATTATTTAGACACGTTATGTTAACTATTTACATGTCAAATAGGTTATCAAGAAATAATGTACAAGAATGAGGTTAAATTACAAAAAAGCTAAAAAAAGTTCCTTAAGTTACTTCTAAAGCCGTTAAAATCTGCTGACTGATCAACTATTACAGGAAGTTCGTTCCAATACTTAGCAGCAGCATAACTAAACAATTTCTTCTTCCACTGCAGATTAAATTTAGGAAGAGCGAGGATATACCTATCACCTCTCAGACTATACTTAGTTTTCCTAAAGTGGAAGAGATCTCTGATATATGAGGGGCCATTACAAAATAAGCATTTATAAAGTAACTCAAGTGACTGGTAGATTCGTCTCTGCTTCAAATTGGACAAATTGATCATACTTAATAATTGTTCATAAGGAACAGATTTCCCGTAGCCTAGAACTGATCTAAGTATATAATAATTAGCATTGTCTAGTCGGTCACTTTGAACTTTGCCTATTCCCAGTAGCAGAGGACCACAGTAATCCAAGTTCATTCATGAGTTATGACATTGTTCCTATTGTGGCTATTAGTTGACCTGCATCTAAGGACAAAAGTGGCCAAAAATTATGCAATGTTCAAAATTCAAGAACTGATTGGTTATGTTTGTGAATATATGCTAATGCAACCTAAAACGACACTTAACATATGACACCGATAACAACAAGTAACATGTCTCGTCCTTATACTAATTACAATACTAGATAATTATGCCCGCTGCTGATCGGTGGGGATGAATTCGGTTCCAGGTTATGGTGGTACTGGATTATCTTAGACTCCATAACCAGGTGAGGAATCATAGATACTTCCTCAACCAATGGAACCTCTTTCATCCCCATCGATGACAAGTCAACGTGTCTGCACAGGGAAGAGTTATCTACGCATTAACCAAGTTGCGCCCTAAAGGTGGGGACCTGACCCGCACAAAACGCGTAAACCGAATAACCCCTAGCAACCCGGAAACAGTTTTGGAGCACTAGAACCCAAGGGGAAAGGGTAGGGTAGAGACCTGAAAAGCTCGTGACACCAACAGAAAAAAACGAGAAGACATAGCAAGGAAAAGGGAGGGTGGGAAAAACGTTGAAGCAACTGAAAGGCTGGCTTGTCATTCACTAGCTATTTTATACGCTGGGTTACCAGGCATGTGCCCTGGACAAATCAGCGACACAACAATCAACAGAGCGAATCAGCCCATACTGTTAACTTGCTTTTATGTTATAAAACCCATTTAACGCTGATAACAACTAGTAACATATCTCGTCCTTATACTAATTACAATACTAGATAATTATGCCCGCTGCTGATCGGTGGGGATGAATTCGGTTCCAGGTTATGGTGGTACTGGATTATCTTAGACCCCATAACCAGGCGAGGAATCATAGATACTTCCTCAACCAATGGAACCTCTTCCAATGATATTCTCCAACGATGGTAAAGTGGTTGGAGTAAGGTTACCATTGGTACCTCTTCCAAAATAAAAAATCTCCAACCACTTACAAGTTCACGACAGTGTTTGCGAGAGTGTCCGGTGAAGTGCGAATATATTGTAGATATGCAGCACTGGACCAGCGTCCTAAAGCTTTAATGAGGTGATCCGGCACTCCCTTCACCTGAGGGGCTGTTAAGGGAGAGCCATCTGACCAGAGAAAAAGCGGGCCTGGAGATGAACCATGAACAGAGATGTATGTAGGCAAGGCGGCAACAGGACTGTGCGAGAGGTCCTTGCCAGGTAGATATAACATCCTTGACCGAAGGGGTCTGTTTTTGACCGCTTAATTCGTATGTGCAGTTGAGCGACCGGAGGATGACAGCAGAAACTGCATATCAGCTAACGTTAAATCGCGGCTGGGGTTGAATGGAACAGATGACGTGAACACGCTAACACACAAAAAAACATGGAAGGCAAGGCAGCAGGCAGACCAAAACATCAAGGCATCATACGACGAGCCAGATGAATGGAGGGACGAAAGGATAGCGAGAAGGGACTCGTGAGTAATTGGACGGAGCCGCGGACAGGACACCATGTCAGCGCGCTGAATTCCTTTTATTACGCGACGCAAACAAGGAGCGTTGAGAGTTGGATCGGTAAAACCAAGATCAATATGGAGGGAGCGAACCGCAGCGATGTAGATGTGCATGGTAGCAGGAGATAAGGAACGGGCTAGCCACGACATGAACATCATCAGTTGGTACTCCATGGTCGGAAGTGGGTTGGAAGATGGAAAGAGCATAGGGAACAGCGTCACAAAGTGCCAAAACTTACGCTGACTGGCGGAATAAGTATGACGAGAGTTCGTGGCTAAACCATGCGCCAAATAATTACAACAGGTGTGCTCTAGCTCATGCAGAGCAAGCGATGGAGCACGGAGGACGGGACTGGTGTGGGAGTGGCGGTGGCCGATGGATGGAGGCGTCGAAAGAGCTGAAAATGGAAACGAGACAACGCATCAGCGGCTGCGTTCTGACAACCGGGAACATGATGTGCAGAGAACAAAAAATTATGCTGGCACGCGACCATGGTCAAACGGTGAAGGAGGTGCATCGCGAACGGATCCCGAGAACCCGAGTTGAGGATAGCCACAACAGCGGAGTTATCGCAGTGGAACTCAATCTGTAGGCGCAACAACAAGTGCCCCAAACATGCGCGGCAACCACAAGAGGGAAGAGTTCCAACACTGTGATGTTGTGACTGGCAAAAGACGCCGGCCAAGCGACCGAAAACCAGTAGGAACCCCAGATGGCCCCACAACCCAAGGATGCCGCTGCATCTGACAAAACAAAAAAATCCACGTTCTGCTAATATAGCCGAACCAGGGGTCGATGAAGGCAACATCGCAGCAGTTGACATCACAGGAGGCTCTGAACCTGAAGTAACAGTAGGAGGCAATCTCATAGCTAGAATGTTGTGTTAAAAAATGTGGAGAACCGAGCTAACAAAAACGTTGAAGCAACTGAAAGGCTGGCTTCTCGTTCACTAGCTATTTTTTACACTGGGTTACCGGGCATGTGCCCCGGACAAATCGCCGACACAATCAACAGAGTGAATCAGCCCATACTGTTAACTTGCTTTTATGTTATAAAACCCATATAAAAGAACAACTTATGTATGCAGATTATTTGTTATGATATGGGTGAAAATAAAATTTTTGCTTGCCTCTGCAAATTGCCCCTCCATGCATGTATTGAAGAGTTATACCTGCATTGCGAGCCTGTCATAATTGTATGAGCGACTACACAACGGAAAATCATGTGCATTTGCAACCAAACAGAAAATAACACAACTGTGTTCCCTTTTAGAGTCATTTAAGTGCAAAACTCTCCTATTCACCATTGACAGATATTTTAAGGCAAATTGTATTATTGCCAGCTAGTCTACAAATCACTAGTACACCGTTATTGTGACTTTGGGATTTAAATATGAATATGCAATGACATTGTAAGTTGTTATAGTATTAACTATGCAACTCAATGACAGAATTATAGCTAGTGAAGCAATTGTTACATGTAAATGCAAATAATTTTGATAGTTGAAATATTTCCACTTTATACAATACAGCATGTATGATAAACTGTATACATGAATTAGTGATAAATCAACTGATAAACTGTATACATGAATTAGTCATTCAGTCATACTTCTTTCTATATCTGAGAAGAGCATTGGGAAATCATCCTCTCTTCGAATCTTGCCACAAGGAGTATTTGGGTATATGAGTATAACTATTCAACTATGATCGATCGAGCTATAAGTTTGAAAGACCTGCTTTAACATGATGCACAAATTTAAAGACATATGTGTATCGACATCAATTTATTCAGGATTCAGTGTTGTTTAGTCACAACCAATAACAACCAAGTATTTTGCCTAAACATGCAAATTCCAAAGCAGCAACCATGAAGTAGAAGTCAACAATTTTGCTTATGCTTACATCTTGAAAATGATATTGAGGCTATAAGTTCTTAGATGCAGGTCAACTATTTAGTACCATTAAACAACTGTTCAACATAAATATAATCTAAACAATATCCAGTTCCCAATTGGGTTTGGCTGGTATATTGTTGAAAACGTTTCATAACTAACAAAAATCCTGGTAAGAGCAAGCTAACTTTAACACTGGGCCGCATGTATGTGTGACAGGGGTTTTTAAAATCCCATCGAGTGCAATAAAAGACACTGATACACTATTCACAATTAAAATATCAGCTCCTGTGGTAAAGCAAAGAAAATGCCCTACAATCCTGGACAAAACATCTGTGACACTACCAATTACTTGACAAAATGTCGTAATATTATCGTAAATTTAGAAAACCTCCCCCTTTCCCCCACCAGTCAATGTTGATTGCATTCATAGAATATGGATAAAACATCCAACATTGTCTTGGGGGCGGAGGGGGGCAAAAAAGTGAATTATTCCAGTCTAACTGGTGTAATAGTCTTCGAGCTTTGTATTTTTACAAGATAAGTACAACAACAACACGAGGCCCCCTGGAGGGTCTCAAACCGGAAGTATATCATTACATCCTCCTTTCCCTAACATTAATATGAAATTTTATAGTTCCTTGAGTTTCAGTATAGTACTATAGTTTCTTTTAGATATCAATAAGATAAGATGTTTTGTATATATATAATAACAAGTCATTTACAGACTGTCGTCTTGTGTTCAATTTCTTTCTACATATCTAAACGTGTTGGGGGTACTACTATTCTGCCGCTACGCGTTGTGTATTGGTGGCTTTCTTGGGTGCTCTTAGGGAACGGGGTTTCGTGGTTGTCTAGTGTTTTCTCACAGGGTTGTTGATATGCTTGTTCCATTGGATCTTGTGGGCGTTCTCGTATCTGTGTTCGATTTCGTCTGATTTCTCCTCCTCCTGGTTTCGTGATAATGTAAGATCGGGGTACTTCTTGAATTTTCTCTTTTATCTCTGCGGGTTTCCAGGTTTGTGTCATTGGGTCTTGGATGTTTATGCATTGACCAGGTTTTAATGGTTGGAGCGGTTTTGTATTTCTGTCATGGTAGTATTTCTGCGTAGCTTGCCGCTGTAATAATCTGCTAGTCACCTCCTCAGTTGTTTTTCCTTTCGGTATTTTCTTTGGCAGGTTGTCTTGGATTGGTCTACCGAATAAGAGCTCAGCTGGGGATGGAAGAGTGCTGTTGATTGGAGTTGCCCGTAAGCATAACAAAGCCATGAGTGGGTCTGTATTGGTTGCTCTTGCTTTTTTCATTGTCTTTTTCGTAGTCTTGACTTGGCTCTCAATAAACCCATTGCTTCTGGGGTAGTGTGGTGAGCTTGTGGTATGTTGGAAATTATATTGCTTTGCGAACTCTTTATATGCTTGTCCTTCAAAATGGGGCCCATTATCGGATCTTACGATTTTGGGTACTCCTTGTTCGCTGAAAATTTCTTTCGTTAAATTCGCGATTGTCCTACTGCTGCTCTTCCCTTTTGGTACCTCTCGCACGAACTGGTATTTTGAGTAGTAGTCAGCGACCAATAAGTATTCCGCTCCGTCTAGGTAAAATAAGTCCGTGCCGATGGTATGCCATGGACCTGGCGGTACCTCTGTCTGGATAAGTGGCTCTTTGGGTTGACTGTTCTGCATTTCTTGACATGTATTGCACGATTTGCACGACTTCTCAATGTCACTGTTCATTCCTCTCCAGTAAACCGATGTTCGTGCTCTTAATTTAGTTTTTTCGGACCCTTGATGACCTGCGTGAAGCTTCGTAAGTATCATGCTCTGCATACTATGGGGGATGATAATACGTTGGCCTTTCATTGCTATACCATCTTCGGTGGTGATCTCATCACGAAAGGTCCAATAGGGTTTGAGGATTTCTGGAACCTGCTTTATGTTCGTTGGCCATCCATTGTAAACCACATCATTTAATTCTTTAAGCTCCGTATCTGTTGCACTTGCCACACGGATCTCCTGCAGAATCCCACTACTAAATTGTGGACAGATTTCATGTATTTGGACGTCCATGTCAGAGATGGGCTCTGTTTCCTGGGGCGAAAGTCTTGATAGGGCATCTGCGATTTCCATATCTGCTCCTTGACGGTACTTGATTGTAAGGCTGTACGGCTGTAGGCGCAACAATATCCGTTGCAGGCGGGGTGGGGCTGATGTGAGGTGCTTAAGGTGGATAGATTCAAGGGGTTTATGATCAGATTGGACTGTAAAACTGCGGCCGTAGAGATAAGTGTGGAATTTCTCGCATCCGTATACAACTGCTAAGAGTTCTCTTTCGATGTTTGCGTATCGTGATTCTACGTCAGTTAAAGCTTTACTGGCAAAGGCGACTGGCTTGTCTTCTTGCAAGAGTGTAGCTCCCAGGCCTTTTGTTGATGCGTCAACTTGCAGTACTGTCTCTTTCTCTGGGTCGAAGTATGTTAGTGTAACTTCTTCAGAAATTAAATTCTTGATCCTGTCAAACACATCCTGTTGGCTTGCGTCCCAGGCAAACTTGCTCTCCTTCTTGAGTAGCTGTCGCAGTGAGGCAGTGTGGTGACTGAGATTCGGGATGAATGGTGCCATATAGGTGGCCAGACCCAAGAATGTCTGTAGTTCTTTGCTGTTGGTCGGTGGGGCCATCTGCTTCAGGGCGGACACTTTGTCAGGGTCTGGTTGAATTCCTTCTGGACCGCAGATAAGCCCATAAAACTTTATTTTCTCTTGCTTTATGTGGCATTTGTCAGGGTTTAGTCTCAGACCTGTGTCTTGGCACCGGCTCATCATGCTTCGTAGATTTTGGTCGTGTTCTTCTTCTGTTGTGCCAGAGATAACAATATCATCTGCGATACCCACAACGCCTCTACATCCTTCGAATGTTTGGTCGATCTTTGCTTGGAAGATGTCTTGTGACATGTTCAGCCCAAAGGGCATACGCTTGAAACGGTACCTGCCAAATGGGGAGTTAAAGGTAGCTAAATAGCTTGATTCTTCATCAAGTACCACATTCCAATAGCCACACTTTGCATCGACTATTGAGAAGAACTTTGCTTTGTGTAATTTTGGTAAAATTTCTTCCAAGGTAGGAATGGCGTGATGTTCTCTTAAGATAGCTGTGTTTAGGTCTTTGGGGTCTAGGCATAAACGCAATCGTCCATTCTGTTTCCTCTTGTAGACAAGACTGTTTACCCATCTTGTGGGCTCTCCTTCGTTTATTTTAGTTATGATACCATTTGCAACCATCTCGTCTAGTTCTTTCTTAATGTCATCTTTCAGACTGATTGGAACTCGTCGCGGAGGGTGGATAACAGGTGGGACTGATGGGTCGGTGGTTATGTGGTATTCTCCTTCGAATTTTCCTATGCCATTAAAACAGTTTGGGTATTGATCTATCAAATCTTCTTTGCTCTTTATTGGTTTGGGTACTGGTGGTCGTTCGGGGGTTCTGGTGGTTAGTGGTGGTTGCTCAGGGGTTCTTGTGGTGGACCATAGTGTGTTGCTGTGTAACACTTGTTTGAGTATGGCACAATTGAATTTCACAAGGTTGAGGTCAATCAACGTTGGTAGGCCAATGATAGCAGGGCCTTGTGTGTCTGTGACATAGAACTGTGCAGCAGATCTTTTGCCTTTGAATTCGCAATCAATGGTGACGGTGCCATGGTGGTGTAACTTGGATCCCCCATATGCTGTGAGGATAGTATTAGAATGTTTTGTAGCTCCTTTCTTGGGGTTGCCCTTCAGATCAATTTTGCAGGGGTACATCGCCCGGTATAATCTTAGGGGGAGTATATTCCCTTGGGCACCAGTATCGACTTTGGCTTTCAGTGATGCCTTTGCGTGTGTTTGTAGGGAAGCCTTGACTGTTGCTTTGGGCTTTGGATCTAGGTGGATGCCCACCTCTGCAAACACTTCGTCTGCCTTCAAATTTTGGTGGTTAACATTAGCTACAGTAATTGATTCAAAAGTTAGAGTTTCAAATTGGGTCATTGAGGGGTCACATTCTACCTTCTCGATAGGGTGTATTTGGCTCCGCCTCCCTTTTGATCGACATACTTGTGCAAAATGGTTGGGCTTGTTGCATAGGTAACAGGTTTGCCCTTTTGCTGGACATTTCTCTGATCTGTAGTGTTTTCTCCCACAGTTCCCACACTGGCTTATTTGCTGGGGGTACTTTTGTTCAAGTGATTGCTGGGGGTACTTTTGGTCAAGTGATTGTCTCGATCTTTGAGATTGACTGCCTTGGTTTTGCTGTCTGACTAAGTGAATGCTTTCTTCCTTGTTTTCAGGAGACATGCTTTTGAGTTGGGCTTGGGTTTTTTCATAGGTTCTTGCGATTTGTATAGCTTTTTCTAGCGTGAGTTCTGCCCCTTCCATTATAAGTTTTTCCCTCACTTTGTTTGAATTTGTCCCAAACACAATTCGGTCTCTAACCATTTCATTTTGGTCGTGGAACTCACAATCTTGGGCTAGGAGTTGTAACTCTGTTGTGAATTCCTCTACTGGCTCGGTGGGGCCTTGTATTTTGTTATGAAACTTATATCTGGCAAAGACGGGGTTTGCTTTCGGATTGACATGCTTTTCGAATCGATCATAATATGTTTTTAATTTACCTCTGTTTGTTTCTGAGATATCCGACCATGTGTTGTATATATCCCTGCCTTTTTGCCCTACCCAGATGAGTAGGTAGCTGCATTTCTCCGCTTCGTTTTTTGATCTCAGCGGTCCAGAGAACATTAATTCGACATGTTGTTTAAAACGTCGCCAATTTTCCTTGAGATTTTCGCCGTCCCATTGCATCACAGGAAGTTCAATACCGCTAAGAGCCATGACTGTAGCTTATACGGTCGATATTCAGTAAAAATCGCACTCCTGACACCATGTAATAGTCTTCGAGCTTTGTATTTTTACAAGATAAGTACAACAACAACACGAGGCCCCCTGGGGGGTCTCAAACCGGAAGTATATCATTACAACTGGTAAAAAAAGCCACAAAGGAATGTTTAAATAGAGTGTTGCAGATGGTTTTGTCCAGGATTGTTTGAAATGAGTCGAAATTATATTCTTTTATATTTACTTTTTATATATGTCCTTGCCATGTATTTCATTTATGTGCATTTGTGTATGACCTACTTATGTTCATAATTCCATCAAGTACCTTATTTCATTAATTAAATACGTGATGAATACCTTATTGTTTTGAAAGGGTAATAATATGTGTTAGAAACTTTTTGAAAATCGCATACTATATATTTTTCAGCAATTAAAAGCAACAAAATGTTGCAGAAATAATTGAGAAAGTAAAATTATCATGTTCTAGTAGATATCATTGCAATAATTCAGAAATTACAAAATATATATGAGTCATATTTGTTATCTGTATATTTATGTACGACTTGCAAGACACAATAGACAACCTAATCGACCATGTGAGAAGGTGCCCATTGACAGACATGCAAGTTATCAGTGCATGAGATACAATGCCGTTCGACCCAAAAAATATATTTCCATAAGAGTTTGTGCGACTTATATATTGATAGGTTATACATTCAGTCTATACATAAACAAATGCATGTGTCTGTGATATCCAGTAGAACTAAGGGACAACTATATAAATGTGATAAATCAGGGTGTGGTAAATCAATGCTCAATTTTTCAGTGTCATACCTAACAGTGTACCACCACCAATGCACTAAGACTGTGATAATATCCCCAATTATAGGTATAATACAAATCAATGAAATGGACTTGAAAGAACGTATGTTGCTTAGTATTCCAACCTACTTCATACAATATTTAGAGAAATACGTGCATATTCTTACGAAGGCATATAAACTATATGTAGTTTATTACAAACCTGTGTACTGTGATGTTTCCCTGTATGTATTGGCGAAAAACGTTCTAATGGAGAAGAGTTTATATTATATAGGTTGTTTGATGTCCTCGTCCGGCTCATCGCCACCAGCACAGCAACCACTATTAATAACTGACATGTCTTCATTTGCATCAATCACGTCGATTTTCTCCATGCTCAAACTTAACTCTCGGCAGCATCATTCTTAAAAGCACATAGTTTTCTCTTGGTGAGGGCTACGTCGTTTCCTTTCTGAATTACGAGTGCCACTTTATGTATTTTGTAAAAAATAATTTACAGTAATGCATATTACCTTTTTATTGGTTGCGAAGGCAGACACAGAATTTGGGTTTGCCTTCGTTGGTCCATAATTACTGATAAAATGTAAACTACAAATGTAGCTGTCTTTCGTGCAAACAAAATTATCATCCCGGTGACATGCGATTATCCACTTTATATCTCCTTTCTGCCGATCGTACAGCCCAGGAAAATGATAAAATTGAATTGGGTCATAGTTTTTATTTCTCTTATGAAGATGCGGGTATCTTGAATCATTTTTATATGTTCCCCAAGCACATATTTTAGTTGCAACCATATTGCTATTCTATATTGCGTTATATTGCTTGCCTGACCTGTGGTCCAAACTATTGCGATTGTTTACATTTTTGACCACGTGCCAAGTACATGTGGCCCCCACGGTGAAAGTGGTTAATTACTTGACAAAATGTCATAATATTATCGTAAATTTAGAAAATCTCCCCCTTTCCCCCACCATTCAATGTTGATTGCATTTGTAGAATACAGATAAAACATCCAACATTGTCTTGGGGGGGGGGGGGGGGAGGGGGGCAAACAAGTACATTATTCCGGTCTAACTGGTGAAAAAAGCCACAAAGGAATGTTTTAATAGAGTGTCGCAGATGGTTTTGTCCAGGTTACCTGTATCTAAACCTCTAATGTAACACTGCAGGTACGTTAAGGCATCATGGTACCCCTCAGTGTTTGGTTTAGCTTGCAGAAGTTTAAGGAATTTTCTTGTTTGTAGGTTCTATAGAGTGATAAAACATTTCAAGCTCCTCAAATGACTGGTACATCATTAACTCATATCAAACCAGGTCACTTGATTTCCAGAGAACACGATGTGGAGGTTAATAACCCTATTAGGCCTGGCGGCCACATATGTGCACATTTTTTCAAAACAACAGTAACCGGAAACGGCCACATATTTTAGTTTACTTCCTGCAGCAATACTTCATGTAATACAGTGAATAATGGTGGGATTTAACAGCATTCTTCCAAGATGGTGCAATTCTCGGGAATAAGTGCAAGGTTAGTTTATTACTTATTTCATGTATATTTTTGTATTATGTGGCAATGATATAAACTCCAGACAAAGTGTAGATGCTCAAGTCTGCTTAATTAACTTGTGATCAACTTGTTCTTTTTAATACTTTATTCACATAGCGTTGTTCGGTACGTAACGGTATGGTTTCTACAAATTTACAGACACTTAAGTATAAACAATATGGTCTACAAATATTAAACGTTCGCACACATATATACATATATATACTTACAATCATTTTGACGTTATCCAGAGATTTATTCCACATCATGTAGAATATCTTAATTATGTCTTGTACATCTACATGTTATAGCCTTAGCTTCTTAGTCATATCTAACCCAAAAGGTTCTTATGCAAGCATTTATAGCTTATTAAATATTCTGATGTCAATATCCTATTCTTATGTTAATATCTAATTAACGGAAGTTACATTCCCGGCGCCTTGAAATAACTATGGATAAAGTGTATCTTGTACAAAGTATTTCAATTCAAATCTGTTCAGTTACTTAGAACTCATCCACTCCTTCTAATAAAATGCACTTAGTTATAGGTCGTTCTAATATTGTTAATTTTGTCCGTAATTTAACCTTTCTTACTTGACCCTTGACGTCGGGGTAAACTTCTGTAATCCTTGCTAAAGGCCAGGAACTTCTTGGGGTTGTCTCATTCACTATCAGAACGATATCTCCTTCGCGAAAATTCCTACAGGAACGGTTCCATTTCTGTCTGCTTTGAAGAAGAGGTAGATACTCGCGCGTCCAGCGTCTCCAGAATTGGTCCGATAAATATTGCATGTGTCGCCATCTTCGTCGTGAGTAGCAATCCTCCTTTGTAAACATACCAGCTGGTAAATCTGGACCAGCTCGTAACAAAAGTAGGTGATTGGGAGTAAGTGCTTCTAAATCTCTCGGATCGTTTGAGACACTTGTAAGAGGTCTTCCATTTAAAATTGCTTCAACTTCACATAGGAAGGTAGGCAAACTTTCATCGTCCAATCTTTGTTCGTGAAGTAAGGCAGCTGATACTTTCTGGACGGATCTTATGCATCTTTCCCATATACCACCATGATGAGAACCTCCTGGAGGATTAAAAAGCCACTGTACATCTCGTTGTAATAAGAACTCGTTAATTTGCTTCTGATTCCATTCTTTAATAGCTTGTCGGATTTCCTTTCCACCACTGACAATGTCCATGCCGTTGTCGCTTCTCATCTGGTTTGGATTTCCTCTTCTTGCGATAAATCGACGCAAGGCGTATACAAACGAACTCATATCCAAAGAATGGGCCACCTCTATGTGGACTGCTCTTGTCGACAGACAAGTGAAGATGCAACCATATCTTTTAACTTCTGCCCGACCTCTCTTAACGAAAAACGGTCCGAAGAAATCTACTCCGACATTTGTGAATGGTGGTTGATGTGCAGTGACTCGGTCCGCAGGTAGATCCACCATCTTTTGCTGCCCAGGAGATCCTTGCCTTCTACGACAATCGACACATCGACTTAGTATTCTTCGAACAGCGGTATTGGCATGGATGATCCAAAATGATCCCCTCAGCAGTGACAGTACATATTCTCTGCCCGAATGTCCAGATACTTCATGATAATGACAAACGATCAGATCTGTAACATGGTGAGCTTTCGGTATAATAACTTGATGTTTTGCATCCTCAGGTATCGAAGCGCGTTGTAGGCGGCCGCCAACTCGTAATAGCCCATCAATCAGCACAGGATCTAATTCTTTACACATGCCCCCGTGTTGATTTGCTTGCTGGAACAATGGCGCCATGACAACTCGCTAACCCTTCGGGAAAATTCGTTTTCTGCACATGCTTCAACAACTCCCTTTCAGCTATCTTCAATTCGGTGACAGTAATAGGCTTGATGGTACTCTGTTGATGATCATTTGCTGAATTTCCATTGCTACGTTTACGGTAAGCTACGAGTAAATTCTGTCTAAATCACAGCATCCAGGTGAAAAATTTTTTCAATTGAGCCCACGATGAAAAGTGTTCAATGATTGAATCAACCATCCTTATACCTTCATCTTTAACTGAAATACACATTGTCACGTCTTTCTTCACCTCAGGGTCATCGGATAAAACTTCTCCCAAGCCGTCGGGTCGCTTTGGCCAGACATCTGACGGACGCCAAAGAAACTCCGGCCCCTTTATCCATCTTGCGCAGCTCAGGAAGTCATCAGTGGATAAACCTCTAGAAGCATTGTCTGCCGGATTCAATTTCCCATCAACGTGTCTCCACTGCGACGGAGAAGAATTATCCCGAACGGCACCAATTCTATTCGCTACGAATGTATTGAAACGTTTATCTTGGTTTTCGATGTAGCAAAGGACGGAAGTGCTATCGGTCCAAAATATCGAATCGTCAATAGGCAATTCTAATTCTCGTCTTGCCATCTTGTCAAGTCGAACAGAAACAGTCGCTGCCGACAGTTCGAGTCTCGGTATGGTCATTGATTTGAGTGGAGCTACCCGCGATTTCCCGATCAAGAAAGCGCAGTGGATCTTCTCATCTTGGTTGACCATTTGCATGTACGATACGGCATCATAAGCACTTTCGGACACGTCAGAGAAATGATGTAATTGGCAGGACACGACTGGGCCAAATTGGACTGGTTTGAAACAACGATTGACTGAGAATTCTGCTAATCTTGGTAATTCTGCTAACCATCGTTCCCACCGAATCCGATTCTCTTCCAGAATAGGCTTGTCCCAACCAACTCCTTTACGACACAGTTCTTGTAAAATCGATTTAGTTGGTAGAACAAACGGTGCTGATATGCCCAAAGGATCATAAATGGAGGTAACTATAGATAGAATATCACGCCAAGTCTGTGGACGAGTTTTGATTGTGACGTTGTAACCAAAGACGTCCTGTTCGGTATTCCAATGGTTCCCAAGTGCTCTTTCAATGGGTAAATCTTCTAAATCGAGGTTCTTGACTGTAGCTGCTCTTTCTGATTCAGGAATGGCTTCGAGAACTCGCCGAGAGTTGGATAACCATTTTGTTAAGCGAAACCCACCTTTCACCATCAGTTGTCGGAGTTGTTGCACCAGAGTAATTGCGACAAGGTCGTTTTCCACGGACTTCAAGCAATCGTCCATGTAAAAGTTACGCATTTCAGTCTGGATTGTCTCTGCATCAAAGGAATCTTTGTTATCTTCGGCAGTCTTCTGAACTGCAAACCTGCAGCAGCTTAGGGATGAAACTGCTCCGAATAGGTGTACTTTCATTCTATACTCGACTGGCTCTTGCAACAAATCATTTCCAGGCCACCAAAGGAATCGTAAAAAATCTCGCTGATTACACACAACGCGAACCTGGTGGAACATGGCCTCGATATAGCTGATGATCACCACTGAGTCTTGTCTAAATCGCATTAAAACTCCCATGAGTGTATTGGTCAAATTGGGTCCCGTTAGAAGTTGGCTGTTGAGCGAAATGTCTCTATACTTCGCAGAACAGTCGAATACTACGCGGAGTTTTCCTTTCGTCGGATCGACTCGGATGGAACACTGGGTGATGTGGCAAATACCAAACATGTCCGTCAGATTGATCACGTTCTTCTTCCGGTACCTTTTCCGCATAGCCCATGCTAAGCAAGTTTCCAATGAACTCTTCCAAAGTATTTCTGAAACAGCTCTTGATTTTTCGTAAGCCTTTTCTTCAAAACGTTGAGACGATGTCGTGCCAATAGTTTATTATTGGGTAGGCAAGGTTCCTCCTTTCTCCAAGGTAGAGTGATGTCGTAGTGACCATCGTTCAATCTACTTGTTTCTTTCATGATGCTGTAAGCTTTGTGGTCGTCTTGAGAGAATTGTAGTTTTTCTTCGTCTATGCTATCATTAAATTCTGTATTACAGAAACGTTCGAACTGTTCGGTGAGTCCAACATTGGTCTTTATGAAATTTGATGATCGTCTCGCATCACTGCTATGATGTCGACCAAGTGGTCCGTTTAATGCCCATCCAAACTGTGTTCTAACAGCGTAAGGACTGCCGTTCTCTGCTCTACGTATTTCTTCCGGCTTGAGTGCTTTAATATTATCATTGCCAATCAGTAAACCAACGTCTGCATTTATATACTCCAATCGTATTCCGTTTAAGTGTGGCCACCGATCTACGTCAGCTTGCTTGGGTATATCGTCTTGAGTTACTGGCATTGAAGGCATTGTGAACACTGTTGGTAGTTCAAGGAAAACGTTTTCGTCAAGATCATACACTTCGAGACTAATGACAATACTTTTCGTTTCTTTGTTCTTTTTTGTCATAGTTGTTAGTGAGAATTTGGTTGTATCACCTGTCAAACCCAGTTGATCTTTAAGAATCTCCGTGCAGAACGTAGTGTTTGACCCGCCATCCAATAAAGCATAAGTTGAGATATAGCGTTCTCGGTGTCCGCCCTTCTTGACTTTAACCTTGACTGGAACAACTGATAGGCCAACTGCTAATCTTGGCACGTCTGTAAATGTACACGATCGCTCGTTACTGGTAAAACTTTCTGCTGTTTGGACTTGTTTCTCGGCTGACGATAAAGTGCGTTGACTTCCCAATCGCTGATCGTTTCTTGAGGGAGTTAGGTGCAACATTGTAGAATGTCTTCGACTATACTCTTTGCAACTTTTCTGTCTTCGACAATCCTTTGCCATGTGATGAGGTGTTAAACAATTGAAACATAAACCTTTACGTTTGACAAGTTCTATGCGTTTTTCGTAGGACATAGCTCGGAATTCTTCCGGTGTATGGGCTTGGTTGCAAACAATGCAATTCTTAATTAGCCTTGGTGATTCAACATTGTCAAAGTTGCGTCTCTGTTTGGTATCATCGTTCCCTTTCCCAGCTTGCGTAGCTAAACTAGTCCCTTTCAGTTTCTCGTTTCTGATCTTCTTGCCAGTATGGTCATAATCGGCTAAAATATTACCAAACACGGGATGATTGACGATTCGTGCTTGCTTGTCGACAAATTGTGTGACATCGCGAAGGGAAATTTCTCTCTCTTCATCCTCAGTTATATTATTGGCGATGACACGCCACCTTTTTCTCGTATCGTATGGTAGTCTTGCAATGATTAACTTCAAGCACTCTGGGTTCTCGATCTTGCTCATATAACCGATTTCAGTAAGCGTGTTCATACACGATGTTAACTGAACCGACAATCGTTGAATGGCTGCGTTGTCTTCTCTTTTAATAACTGGTCCTTTCGTGAGTTTATCGACATAGGCTGTGGCAATTCTATAATTCTGACCGAATCTTTTCTTTAAAAGTTTTCTTGCTTCCAGATAACCTCTTTCAGGATCCATCGCCGAACAGCTACGCATTAGCTCTTGTACTTCCTCAGTTGTATATTGTATAAGGTTAGGCTGGATCGATATACCGGATATATCCGATATACCGGTATTTGTTTAGATACCGGTTTGGCGATATTGACAATTTAAAAATACCGATATACCGATATTTCGGTATTTTGCTGCCTAATACCGAAATGAAACGCTCTTTCAAGTCAAACTTGCTTACAATCACGTTTAGAAAGCAAAGTTAATACTCACAGATGCATGATTTTGTTCTTACAGTTCTAGCGGCTTTGGTTAAGCAATACCAGACGTCTTGTTTATTAAATCGCCTTAATCGGAAATATAAAAGGTTCTTATTCTGTGATAAAAATGGCGAAATTTTTAAAGGAAAATTTCGACAAAAAAGAAAACTTTGATTTTGGAAGGTGGAAGTACTAGCATTTGCGAAGCAGCGAAAACCTTTTCTGGCTTTTCTAGTTTTTTTACATGCTTGCTAACTTGTTTATGTGTTAGTTTTAAAAATGCAACGTTTCTTATGTTTATAACTATTAGCAACTTACTGAAACACTATCTGAATTTATATACAAAACGAATATTTTTCTGAATGATTCAACACTTCGACCCCCAATCGACGGTCTACCAATAATTGCCGCTTAGCGCTGTTAATTGTTAACATAGCTTGATAATGCGAATCTTGTGACATTTGCACTAATAACAGGATATGCTACATTAATATTTTGTCAAAACTTGATTTTTCTTGACGGTCAGCACTTCAGTTTGGCTTAAAAAAAAACACGTTAAAAATACCGGAATACCGGTATTTACTGGTATTCTGATGGCGGTATATCGGTATTCGGTATTTGCGATATCAATCCAGCCTATATAAGGTAATACAATCTTGCGCTGGAGCTCTTTGTATTTGCTTCAATGATGTTTTCAAACGCTCGAATAAAGTCGCAATATTCCATCGCATTCCCACCAAACAAAGGAACACCAACGCCATCGCATTCGTTTGTTGTTGTATGAATAAATCATTCAAGGTTAAAGGATTTATTTCACGGTTACGAACAGAGTTCATTAATTGCCGTTTTGTTTGACTCAATACTTCGCTATTGTCTTCATATGGTCTATTGTCCGATTTGAGACTGTTTGACGCCCCCGACATTGATTGTTCATGCTTCATTGATGTTGACTTTGCCGGCCTTGACAATGGTTCTTTAATATTCAAAGACGTCCCACGCTCTGCTGCTTCGGCTTCGGCAAATACTTTCTCTCTTGCATAACATTCAGCCAATTCAGATTTAACTGTCAATCGCTCTTCGGCCTGCTGTAGGCGCATATTCTCTTCATCTCTTGTTTTCTGTAGCTTGAGTCGTCTTTCGGCTAAAGCTTGTTTTTCTCCCAGTAGTTCGAGTTTAGCTTTGAGCGCTTTCCGGTTAGCTGCTTCTTCAACCAATGGTAGCTTAGTTGAGCTGGATGTTGAGTGTTGTTTGGATAGGTTACTTGTTATTGATCGTCCTGTGGCGCTTCTCTGGCTGGCAGAATCTTCAGGATTTACTTCATCTTCGACTTGAAGTCTAGTTCTTTCCTCCATGTCCTCGATCCACAGGTTTACTCTCTTGTACAATAGCTGTATTTCGTCGTATTCATCTTTATAATATTGTTCTGATTGTTTTATTTCGCTCCGCTCAACAAGCTGACTGTGGACATTAACGTGAGCGACGGCAAACATGTTAAAGGTCTCGTCTATTTCATCATTTTTTCGCTTTATCGCTTCGACGCTCACTTGGCCATGACTCTTCATGCATTAGCTCGAGAAGTTCGTTCTTCCTTCTAGTTAGGACCGATTTATAGCCCGGTCATGCTTGCTTAAGTTGAATCATTCGCTCGTTTAGAATAGCTTCGTCCATGTTCAAACCAGTGATTAAACTAATGTAGATGCTCAAGTCTGCTTAATTAACTTGTGATCAACTCGTTCTTTTTAATACTTTATTCACATAGCATTGTTTGGTACGTAACGGTACGGTTTCTACAAATTTACAGACACTTAAGTATAAACAATATGGTCTACAAATATTAAACGTTCGCACACATATATACATATATAAATATATACTTACAATCACTTTGACGTTATCCAGAGATTTATTCCACATCGTGTAGAATATCTTAATTATGTCTTGTATATCTACATGTTATAGCCTTAGCTTCTTAGTCATATCTAACCCAAAAGGTTCTTATGCAAGCATTTATAGCTTATTAAATATTCTGATGTCAATATCTAATTAACGGAAGTTACACAAAGTATAAACTTCTACACTAACTCTGACATTGTTACAGGGTGAAATACATTCATTTTCTATCGATTTTATATACATATTGTTTAGAAATTTACATGTAAACATTTTGTACACATATGTGCACATCGGGTCAATTGGGAATTAGTGTCAATAAAATTGACTAAAATTCTGCAGTTTTGAAAAACAAAAATGTTTAATCAAAGGTAAAATAGAGGTAAACATCAAACAATATGTTCTACTACACTTCTTAAATAAACATTACAAACACCATTTACTCAGTTTAGACTAGTATTTTTATGGAAATTAGTTGAACACATACATGGCAAGTCTTTCTTGACAGGTGTAGAAAATATATAAATTTTGTAACAATTTACAATAGATTTGATACTTTCATGGTTGGCAAAGTACCTACAAGTATTCTATTGAGTACTGTGTCTTTTCAGATAATTTTACTCGTCTAAACGGCCAAATATATCTACAGCACCATTGCCAGATGGGAATTCCAGTGAGGATAATATTGATAGTGATGATGATGATGATGATTACAACCCTGGTGATTTGGAGAATGGGAGTGAAACAGAAAATGAAGATTTGATGAGTCAATCAGAGGAGAAATCGTCAGGGGATGAAATACCATTGAATGAATGGAAAAGGAGAAAGAAGGATAAAGAAGAGGTATTGATCTATATGACATATAAAATATATAGCTTTATTCTTGGGTTTTACTATGACATTATGCAGTGAATCTGACGGGGCTCAACCTCAAATGTATTGATGCTTCTGCTGTACTGGAGTGAGAAAATGATACAAAATTCAATGTATTTGTCACTAAACACAAAGCTAATACATAAAATGAGCAATCGACTCACTCTGATAACTGTTTTGTTTTAGAGTTAACCCTCCGTCACTTTTGTGATGTCATATGAAACCCAAAAATAGACTGTCTTTTTGCTTTCTTTAGAATGAAGTAAAATTCCCATGGAAGACAGATACCACTTGGGAAAGTCCTCGAGAATCAAAAATTTCACTGGAGAAGCTCAAACCATTGAATGCAACATTGACGAATGTCACTCAACCTATGGAATTTTTCAAAACCTTTGTCACAAATGATATACTTGAAGATATAATGTTCCAATCCAACTTATACAACACACAACAGGCAAATAAAGGCCATAAACGAGCAGTGAAGAGAAGGGGTTCCTCGGAGACCCTGTATAGAGAAGTAAAGCCAATAACCCAGCTGGAATTGTGACAGGTATTCGGCATTATCCTGTACATGGGTGTCCATAAGTTACCTACTCGTCGCATGTATTGGGGGAATAAAACTTTTGTGCCACTCATTGGAAACACCATGTCTCATAATCGGTATGAAGAAATTCTTTCCATTCTCCACTTCAACAATAATGAGGAAGCTGTTACTGATCCAGCTGATCCAAAATATGACAAATTCAAAGTGAAACCACTAGCTGACCATTTTAGACATGTGTTCAAAGGAAGTGCTACTCCAGAGACAATGCAAGCTATTGATGAAATGATGATCACATTCAAGGGTATGCACAGTGCCAATGTACCAAAAAAGCCAACTAAATGGGGCTACAAATTATGGTGTCAAGCTGGAATGTCTGGATATGTCTATGATTTTGAAATCCTTGGGTCTGCTGATGCGATGGTGTTGATGTACCCAATCTTGGGGAAAGCTCCAACGTTATTCTGAGGTTGACTAAAGATTTAGAAAGGAAGAAGCATCAATTGTTCTTTGAAAATTTCTTCTCTTGCCCAGAACTTCTTGCTTACCTCAAGTTGCAAGATATTTTTGCTGTTGCTACACTGAAAGCCAACCGTAGTTGTGGATGTCCAATTCCAACAGAGAAAATCATGTGAAAACACGGAAGGGGAGATATTGCCCAATTTTCTGATGTCAAGGCTGGTTTGGTGATCTGTGCATGGTATGACAACCGCAGAGTTTTGACCATCTCTGTACACAAGTGTGTACCGTGTGACGTCACTGTTAGATTAAAGGCGCTCTACAGTCGCTGTTGGGCTGCATTTGTTATAAAAAATCTGAAAATAGTGAGCGCTTCGGATGTGTATACACTAAAGTATCCCTATGGTCTGTTATATTTAGTGTGAAGTTGGTTACGCTCACAACCGTGTACCGTATCAATTTACTAAACTTTCAAAATAACATTACTTACACATTTATACAGTTTTATACAATTATATTGTATGAATACACGGGAATATGATGCTCCGTGCTCCAAACCCATTGCAAAATGTTGCAGGTTAACAAAGGATCTGCATTTTGAATCGCATGTATTACCAACAATGCAAATGATTCATGCTCAGAAACTAAAGATAGATCTGCTTGGCTGTAAGTTATGAGGTAAACAAACCTCACATTTTTTGGCTGGAAATTTTGCACTCAGGTTTGACTTTTTACTAAGACATTGTCGTTCTCTACGATGTTCAATAATATGTTATACGAAAATATTGCGTAGGCCTTTGTAGAGTTGCAGGCTAAGTTGTAATTGTATAAGTCCAGATAATACCACAGTTAATTGAAGGGGATGGTTAGGCTAGCCGGCAAACTTCAAAAGGGGCGGCAAATTATGTTGAGGTTCAAAGGAAAAACTAGTCACGTGCACAATAAGGTGCATCATGTTGATTTCCGGTTGATTTCAATGTATAAAATTACAGTGTCAAATTACATTAGGCTGTATAAAACTCTCAATAGTGGGCTTGTTTCACGCCTAAAAGGAAAGAAAACGCTATGGAGAGTGAAATAGATATTGAGGAAGAATACAATTTGTCTGATGAGTATGTTGATGACCCCAGTGAGCATTACGAAACGGAGACGTGGTTCGAAACGCCAGCCGATGACTTGTCAGATGATGCATTTTATTTAAATTTGTCTGTCGCTGTTGTTGAAGCTGAAAGTGATGAGATCGATGCTGAATTTGTTGAGGCTGTGACAGAAATCGAAGGTAAAAAGTCGTTTCCTTGTCCCAAATGCACAAAAATATGCAAGTCGAAAGGCAGCTTGACGAGGCATACCAACTCCAAACATCGCGAAAATGATTCTTCGTCAAGTATCTCCGAGCAAGAAACACATCTGTCGGAAGAAAATTTTGTTTCCATTGTCAAAGCGATTAAGACAAAACTTATCAAGGACGATCTGTTTGGGCATGAAATAAATGATGCTCTTAAAAATGTTTCTTCGAGTAAAGCTTTATTCCAAGCTGTTACACCCATATACAACATGTTTTGCCGCAAACAAAATCGAGACAAATTGCTGGAAGAATTTTATGGGCTGTTACCGACTAGTTGTGAC